CGTCTGCTTGCGTCTTTTCTCAATGACGCGCCACGAAACAACGTGATCTCCCTATGCTCAGTGTACAATAATGAAACAACTGAGGTGTTCAGGGCGGCGAGTATGAAGACGTCTGTCTCCAGGGTTGTAACGCCATGTAGTAAGGTAGAAGTTTGTGAGCATTTCAGATATCCTTGCTGCCTCCATCATCAGGGCGATGAATGTTGATGGAAGCAGCAAGGACTTCTGAAACGGTGGTAAACTTCTACCAGATTACATTCCGTTATAACCATGCAGCAACTAGTGGCACAGCGGGTTATTTATTGATGTAATTCTATACCGGCATATGCAGCATTTTGTTAATTCCTATTACCTTCAAGATTTTACCATATACTTTGTCCTATCCAAAAATATATTTTATAAAAAATACTTTTGCTTTAGTGCAATATCCTAAGTTTTCCTGGACCTCGTTGTCCGGACACCCAAAAATAAATGGATGCTAAACTTCTCATTCTTGACTAACATAATTCACAGCCCACTTAAGTTTTGAATAAAAATTATCATCTCTTAACAAACCACCGAAGCTTGTAAATAGTTTTCATCGCCCTTTGTTCCTATATGTCCATTTGTACCCAGCGCACATTTGTACTTTCCGAAGTCCTCCCTTTAAATTTGTACTTACAAAGCAAAGCGTCTGTTCTGTCAATAAAACCAACTCCAAAAGAGCATTCATGAACAGCAAACGCCAATTCTGTTGTAAAACACTCATGACATGAACAATGCCGACCGAAGCATATCCTAATGCACTGAAACAGTACGCATACAATCAATCACGAAAGAGCTGAAACTTTTAAATAAACACAGGTACCTTGTAATTAAACGTTTTAATTCTCTCATTACAATAAACCTATAAAAAGCGACGTTCAACGCGTAAATCATGTCCAAGTGAGAACTGAAGTTTCTAATGAAAAAGCTCTTTGCGTTCTTTGCAACGTGCTTAGATGCATTATAACCGCCTTATTCGACAGTTGCCACTTTGGCCACCAGATCGCAGCACCCCAATGTCTACCCCACGACTTTCTTTATCCATCATTTTATCGTCACCGCTCGTAAGATATTCACAATAAGATTTTGAGGTCGTGCAGAATAGCAACCCACCCACATCAAATTTCATTCAAATTCGTTCATTGATTCTCCAGACTGTTGAATCCGTAACTATTCACATTACTGACAGTCTAAACAGGATGACTACAGAAAGTTAAGTTTTCACGAATTATATCGCTCATATACAGTGATGATATTTGGCGGCTGTGCCACTAGGTCTATGAGACGCGGCAACCGAAGCAATAATAACGCTGAGAGGAAACGCCGTGCCATACCACCGGCACAGCCGCCAAATACTATCACTGTAGGCTTAACATTGGTTATATATCCGTTAGGTCTACTATTACTGTTGTTATTGTTACGATGGGGTGAGGCTACGTTTCTGTGGAACTGAGCCGCTAATAGACCTATTGGCCAATCCCCAGATAATATAGGAGTTAATATGGAGCAGCGGTGGAATGATAATGACGGAGAATAATTGAAGGACTCGGAGTAAACCCTGTCCTAGTGCCACTTTGCCCACCGTAAATCCCACATGAAATGATTAGGGCGCGAACCTGGCCCTTTGCGAGAAGTATAGAACTAAAGTATATGTAGCTGGATAAAAAAAAAGTAAATGAAAACCTGACTTCGACTGGCGGTTGTAAAGAAACAATTTAGACATCGACGGAATGGAAGGTACGGGAATAGGTTTATGCGTGTGAATCAGAATGAAGTGGTTGATTATTGTGTCTGGTGGACAGCTTATCGTCAATGTTGAACTCGTGAGCTCCATTACCAGAGTTAATAGTTAATCAAAACAGAGAAGGCACCGAGAAATGTCGAGTAATATTCTCGACTATCCCTCAACCAACATTCATACGAAGTTTCTATTAGGTTAATTCGGAAGATGACTGTCCTCTTGTATGTTGCGTCCTGTAATCTCGTAGAAACTGAAAGGAAATTGTCATCATCGCCCTGACAATGCAGGCACTAAGCACCTTAGAAACGTCTGTCAATTTCTACGAGATAAACGGCCCAGAAGACAGTCATCTTCACATTCGCTGAGGTGAGAACCTGGAATCTCACTCTGGCTAATTTTGTTTGCCTAATGATATATTTGTCACAAAACAACAGAAACATCGTAATTAGAAGTATTTCACTCAATGAAGCATAAAACCGACATAAGGAGACAGTAACTGCCACATATCCAAAGTTCGTTGACCTTAATATTGTTCCGGAATCAGTAGGCTATATTAACGAAGGCAGTTTTAATGATCACTTTATGTAGTACTGCCTCAACGCCAAATTCTGTTTTCATCAGAGGAACAGGAGCGTCATTATGAGAATACACACGCGCAAATTTTGATCTAAGGGTTTATTTTCGTTTCGTATAAAAACCCAACAGCATATGCTGCGAGGAAGGTTATGCTTTAAATGAATTAGGTATAAAGTTTTCATTACAAAGTTCCAATCTCAAACAAACATACAGAGCAGACGTCTTACGACTGCACATAAAAATCGTATAAAAGTGAATAGGCCTACAAAAAATTACTTATTGGCACGATAGTGCGTCCAGATTTTCATTACGGAAAGAATTTTTAAAAATCGATCAACAGAAAAGAAGTTATATTTAAGTTTCACAAATCAACTAAGGTACTGGGACAGTCTCTTCATCGAAAAAATTACCTTCTGGCTACATTTTGCAAAACAAATAGTCTTATTTTCTGACGTCATACCAGACATTTTGAGAGAAATTTTATAGCGGAACGTTTTCGTCGTTTGATTTATTTATAGATCTATATTTACACATCGACTATTTTCAAAGGGTCTAGTTTTTGTAAGTAATTTTTAATGTAGATTTCGTAGCAGTGGAACAGTTTGGTCAGTGTCTTGTTATTCAGGAGGGGTTCTTCGCTTGAAAAGTTTGTTATTTTTCCCCCTTCTCTCTTTTTTAATTTTATTTCTAGAAATTTGAACCCCGCTATTTGAATCAGCTGTACTCTTCAATCTGATGTGCAGTCCGTCAGTTTATCTGACTTTCGCGAGACTTAAGTGAGGACAAAATGAATATGTCATATATTATCAAAAGTGCCTATCAAAGGAGTACAAGCGAATAAACTGCGTCTGGTGTACTGGATCTACTTTCAAACATCACGACAGAAAACCGTAACTTGAATTTTTAATTTAATTTATATACGTAGTCATCTTATAGACTGAATTCGCAACCCTTCCCCGCTCCCATACTTTTGTTTAAATACAGCTGTCCTGGAAGATGTTCGCATAGGAAATAAGACGCAGTGGTTTTTTAAAGTCTGTTCATTTTCATGTATGAGAGGAACTGACGCTGAGTGCCAGGAATTAGGGCTACATTTAAGACATCGCGTTCTAATTAGCCCAGGTGTTTCAGGAAGAGAGATTTATCATTACCCAAAATGGGTCTCCCTGTTCAGTCGGACCGTCTACATCTTCCATCTCTTTGTGTCTGGCCTTGTTTGTCTGGACACTGTCTCGTCCGTCTCCCGAGAATTCGACCGAACGGCCGACCGCCTTCCTTCATATCCGACGTTGCGCCTCATGAACAAGCAATAGGTGTGAGAGGAACCACTACTCCGCCTCCCATCTACAAGTTGTAGGGAGAGGGGGGCCGCCCGCCCCGTGACCCCGCGCAGGGGAGGGCGGGGAGTTACATCAACATCCCCCCAGCGTTGAAGGCAGGCTGGTAGACAAGGGTATAAATTCGTTGCACCACTGGCAAGTACCGGTATTGGAACATTATATGGCGACTTTCAACTACTGCTGTTCTATTGGGAAGAAGCTGACTGACGCACGCCAATTTCTTATATGAGGGGGGTTCGCTATTTGTGCAAGTTGGTATTTCGAAGACAAAGTAAGTGTACTACAGAGTATTATAATTTCAAAATTGGAAATACAAAGTATTTTAGAACATTTTGTGCAAAGTACTTTTCAGGTAAAATATATGTAGCCTGTGTTCTATGAGTCAACGCTGATAGAACATATTTACTGTGTTACGTTTACAAAAAAGCAAGAGCATTGTTGTAATTAACAATACTAGTAAAGAAATTAGTACAATATCAAGTCTAAAGGTTTCTAACTATGGTGCGTGATCAACTGTAATTCTTTTCGTCTTTGTCCATCGTCTCAGTTACAAATGGAATCAAACAAATCGTTTCGGAAGCCCAATCTTCCTCCGTCTTCAGGTAAAAAGGCTAGCTCAACCTGGGGGCCCAACAGCTAGGGTTTCTGTCCTTTCCTTTTTATCTGGACGGAAGAAAGTACAGCTTCCGAAACATCGTGTTTTATTCTATTTGTAATTCACACAGACACAGCAAAAGAAAAATATATTCTCTCAGAAGTCAACACAAATTTCATGTGTCAACCTGGAAATTCGTTGGCTTCAATGGCGCGTCCACATTTAAACGATCTGGTACACAGGAACGCAATAGTACCGATCGGGGGAAAATAATTAAGTGGGGTGGGACTCACGTACTATGAAATTTAATGGTTGTATTTCAAAGCATTCCTAGGTTAACAGAGCAAATCAATCAGACTGAGCGATTTCAGTATTTGCTACGAATTTAGTGCAAATACTGTACAAATCAGTTTTAAAGACTATACAAAAATTGGACTGGCAGTTCACGTGTCATTTTTAAGGTCGTAATTGTAAATTTACGGAGGTAAGAAAAGAACACAACGAAGCTGTAATTGTTTTTCCGCCAAACATAAGGAGCAGGTTCGGAAATATATTCACCTTTCATCATCTGTTAACCCTTTCATATGTTCCTGTCGATCTCTTTGGGAGATGCCATTATGTAGGCCTATGGCTGATCCCAAATGAAATCGCTTCATATAAGACGATCGGTACGGAGTTGCGGAGTCAGGAATAATACAGCGCGCGGAGCGAAAGCCTGCACGCACGCACACTCAACACACGTATATACATACATACACAAACTCATTTTCGACACTATCTACCGCAAGAGGGCGGGAGACAGTGAGCATTTGGTGGCAGCGCGTGCGGGCGGCAGACAGACAACTTGCGAAGTAAATCGGTGTACATATATAATCATAAACCATTATTTACTCTGATGCGTGTGTTCTTTTCAAAGTGCTGTAGGTTCAGTTCTTGAAATATACATCAAATAATTCGACTAAAATAATTCATTTTATACTAAAATTCTTTCTTCAAATAATCATCATTTAATATTATTTGATTTTAGAATCATAAAACTAAAAAGTGTAAAATAAATATTTGATATTTCTTACAGGTTATTCGAACTACCAGGTGAAGGAAGTGACAATCACATTATAAAGAATCCTATCAAATTCTGAACTGAAATCGGGCTGTTGAACAACATAATTAAAAACAATAAAACTTGGCTACTGTGCTGATGTGAATAAGTTTTGCTTAAGTTGCTAATCCTTTGCGTTAAATCGCTTACAAAAGTGCAACAGCATTCCAAAAATTGCAAAGAAATGTCTATAAAACCGCCTTTTATCATTCCAAATCCTGACTTACAATTCATGTTCTTTGCCCTCATGTTGTTACTTTCATTTACCACATGTCCTGTTAACACGCGTCCATCACCAGTCGACAATCCTCACCATCACCACGTTCATCACGACAGCACAGACATTCTGCTTCAGCAGTCGGAAGATATGAGCAATGAAAGCCAAGAACAATTTCTTACTGAAATAAAAATATCAGAAGAGCAAGATTTTCAAGATGAGTTTGAAGACGTCGACAATGACCCAGCAGATACTGAGGACTATCCACAGCAAGACATGCCTGCTGAAGCAATGGGCGATGCTGCAGGTATCACTGGTGGTCGGAAAGGAGAGACGAAGCTCCCCAAGACGCATCTTAACAACGGAAAAAGTGGAAAAAGAAATGCCGCGGATCATTCCGTCGCGAAGCCTGTACCAGAGGGGAACGACACTAATGACGGGATACCGGAAGACGTGAACTTGGACGAGCTCAACAAGACTCTCAGCAACAGCAGCGTATTCAACACGACCACGAGTGACGAGAATTATATCAAGCTGTCGAAGAATAACAGAGAAAGGTAAGATCTGTCACATGTTTTGAAATGTTTGATGTACAAATTATCTGTCATAGTCCTAGCACATAAGAGGGTGCGCCATACCTTTGGAATCGACGCCTTTTAAAATTTAGAATATTTGTAAAACACACTGGCTGTGATAATAGTAATAGGAAACAACAAATCTTTTCTTTTTTCAAATGTTACAAAATGTGAACAAAGATAAACTATGTATGATTTGAGGTTTTCACAGCGGTGAGTATGAAGATTTCTGTCTTCCGGGTTGTTGCGCTGTGTAGTAGATTCGTCGCCCTGATGACGGAGGCAGTATGACCTCTGAAACGTTGGTAAACATCGACCAGACTACACAGCGCAACAACCCAGAAGACAGAAATCTTCAAAGATTAACTAAACAGGCCGACGACTAAAGACGTATGGCTGTTTCCAGAACAGAGTTCTTGAAATCTTTGTACCTGTCAGTATAAGTTAATTAAGTTAACTGACGTTCATCTTAAGCGGATTAGCTCTCGTCTACACTGAACACACTCATGTGTATGTATATTAAATATAAGTCGAATGCAAGTCTCTTACAGAGAAATGATATGGCACACTCTTACGAACTGCAAAGTATTTAATAAGCAATATTTCTATTATAGCTCTGATTTTCTTCCGTTCTTTGTGTAAGAGACATAACTTCCGCCTAAATGCATGACAGAACGAAACAATTTCTTGCAGCACCTTTCTTCTGATAAGTTCACTTATAATAGCCCATTATTATAACAGCTCTATTAAAGTTTATTGTTACGCGTCGCTATAGTTGAGCGAGCACAGACACTGGTTACGTGCTGGAAGTCTATGGTTCGATTTCCAGCTAAAGCAAAGACTTTTCTCTTCCCACCACGCCCACATAGGCTGTGAGACCTGGTAGGACTTCTCTTCAATACGTACCACGGTCGCCTTTCCCGTTAATAAATCTGCCAGATGTTCACCAATCACTTCTAATGTGAGGTTTACCTCCGATGCCCCTATGCCCCGTATTAATTGCTGCTCAGGCACAGTGATAACATTTTTAAGGGTTCGTTATTACTCCATATAGCAGTGTTGGTAATGAAAACAGGAGACAAGGAATTTTGCTCATTATAACAAAACACTATAAATCTCTTTGCTGCTCATTAGAGAATGCAAGATGATAGCAATTTCCAGCTCAACAGGGTGTCTAGAACTATCAATGAGAGTAGAAAGAAATACGAATTGAGAGTTTGGTAATGGAAGCCGAAAACAAATTATGTTTCGGATTCCTTGAGGCCTGTGATTAAACAGGCTTTATTACATTTTAATCATTAGAGTTTCCATGCCACTGAAGACCGACGGGTATTCTTTCAAAAACTGTATCTAACTAGACCGTTCGCCACTCATTTTATTTGATGATGCTGTATCAAATGCTGAGATTAAGTACAGTCGAATAAAGTATGGTATGAAGATTATAAATAATTAATAAGGAGGGGTATAAATAAAGCGGGCATGACGAATTTAAACTGCAGACACCATAATATTGACGGGGTCCGGTGGAGGGCTTTGGTTAATTCGGTGATGAACCTTCGGGTTCCGTAAGCCATCTAGTTAGTTAGACAGCATAATATTAAAATAGCCCGGAAAGAAAAAAGATACGAGGGTGTGAACTTGATTAATACGGGTCAGGATAGATTACCAATGGTGTGCTCTTGTGAACACGCTAATTTATATTTGGGTTCTATATAAGCAGGGACATTTATTAAACAGATGAGCAATTATTAGCTTCTCGAAAAGAATTCCGCGTACTTGAATAACATTGTGACACTACTCTGGAAATAATGAAGAAACGAGTAAGTTCCAGTCATGACATCCGGCACTCAGCCAATACTGGAAATGGTGTGGCACAACGTCGAGGCAAGCTCGTCACAGCTATGCTAACGTGTTCAGTTCATTAACTGCATTTCAAACTTTACGGCATGAAACCGACCAGCTACTCCCTAAA